TAATGTAGCTTTGAGAAGTTTTCGGTTTACTGAGGGTTACGCTATTGTGACACCCAGTCACAGGAAAATATATAGTTGTTCCGCTTACACTCCTCGTCTCAAGAAGCATTAAGGAACTAAATTATTTTGAAACTTTACTGTATGTCCATTTTAAGTATCAATGATAATATGTAGTGCTTAAATAACCAATAAAATGCTATATCCTTCTCCTAGTTTCTTTAACGTAGGTTTTGGCATATTTTCATACTCTGATCAGACCAATTATATCCTGTAAAGATAGTTCAATCTTACAACACTTAGCCGGTCGTTCTGACACCTTGACAAGCGAGTATGTAAGGTGCAAGCCGGATCTGGTCAAGTATGTTTTATGGGGGAAGGGTGGTGGGTCTAAACTATCAAAAGGTCCTGGCTTTCCTCGAAAGTGCTCCAAAGTATAAGTATATGTATATATTTACTCAAAGTGTGCTTAATACCTAGTAAGATTGCGCAAGAATTAAACTATGGCCAAATTGCAAGTGACGTTCATGTTTGGGCGGTTTTTTTTTTTTGGCTGGGTGAGAGGATCCGGAAACCCTGGCCCTTGGTGGAGTGTTTGATAGCCAAAGTGGTTGATGGTTTTTCGTTATGCTTGAGTCATTATCACTCTACCTCATACTTGGCATCTCTCTATTTCGCAATTTGTTGTTGGTGTAGGTATTGGTCAGTAAGGGTGAGGCGCGAGCGCGTCCGTGTTTGTGTGTGTCTGTGTGTGTGTGTGGTGAGTAAGAGTGGGTGTTTGTCCTTAAGACAGGCCTTATCAGAACTAATGACTGTTCAATCTTCTCTTGTGGCCAAATTATAATATGAACGATGCCCGTCCTGTGATAGGTTCCTAAACAAAACTTCCTGAAGTCTTCTTCAGCTTCATGTAGGGAACCACACTTTTGAGTGATATAAGCACATGAAAAAAATAATTAAACAAAACAGAAAATACAAATGAATAATGAACAAATAAACAGAAAGATAAAAATGTATATAATTTTTTTCTTTAAAAAATGATAATGTTTGCAATATGTTAGTTGCGCTAAAAAAATTAAAATAACAATAACGATTAAAATTGCAACTACAACCTAATAAATAAATTCACAAAGAAGAAAAGAAGACTATATACTGAAAGATATTCATTTTTATGATACCCCATAAATTATTGACTTTTCCAAAAAAAATAATTTTGAAAAGTCACTGGAATGAATTACGAAAAATACTTTTGTCGATGTGCTTTTCAATAACATTATGACTGAGAAATCTGATGTGCGAAGTTTGTTGCTTGCTTTGTCTAGTGTTAAGTATAGTCTCCTCTCACGCGCGAGTACCGTGTACAAATCCCATAAAATGCTAACATTTTTTTCTTCTGTTGTGTTTGTTTATGACATGTTATGAGAATTATATTCCTACTTACATTTTCCGTGCGAATATATACTAAATACAGCAGAACATAAATGGTGAACAGCTGCCTTTGCGCGGAATACCGTCAGAAATCTGTGACTTGTCTTCAACACATATTACTAGTCAAAACCTTTCAACCTATACAAAATTAACAAAAACAAATCTGCTTGTTCCTATTGAATAGCAGATATATTTAATGTTGGTGAAAAACTCAATTATTATCAAGCGTACTTTCCAAATGAACAAAATATTTTATCAAGACAAAATCATTTTTGAACACATAATGTCCAATCCAGTGCTTGTAATGTCGCATTGTTTGATATGGTACACAGTACCAGTTGAGTACATGCTCACCAAGAAGTGTCACTTTCATAACTAAACATTACAATGTTGCGATATTTATGTGAAAAGTGGATTATTGGATGCAAAAATTTCCATATTTATTGTTGTGCATTTGTGACCGGATATTTGCAGTATTTGATTTGAAACAGTATACTGTACAGAAAACTTAAACAATTTTTTTTAGTCGTATTTGCATCACATATTTTCCGCTTAAATATGCTGTAGTTGGATAAAGTTCTGTCATTTGGGAGACCGATTTATGTCCACACTCTTGTGAATAGAGGTGAGTTTATTTACTCCTCTAAGTTAACATTTGTATATCGGGTGGATTCTATGTTACAGATAAACCTCCCCACTCCCTGTACCACCCCACCACGCAATACACTCGCTATCAAATGAGCAATACTCTCAGTTTTACTTCGTGTTCTTGTTTTGGAGTTTTGTGCCATTTTTCAGATAATCATTTTGTTATACATGACATAAGAAACCCCATATGGGATCAATGGGCCATATTCAGACAGACGAGATCATGAGTCGAATAAAAAAAGGCCGCCAAAATCTTCATTGAAAACAAAAATTTCCAGACGGCCGGGTCCAATAAGATTTCCTACGATCGCAGCCAATCAGTAAAAAGAATACTGCCCACCATTCATATCATGGGCTTTTTTTGACCAATCAGAATCACATAACGTGATAAGCAACACGTTGTGGTATCGACAGTATGAAACTACACATACTATAGGAAAACTATAACGACTATGTTGTAAATTTGTTTTCTCAACTGATTGCCTTTAATTCCATTGACACAAATCATTGTTCCTAAAAAATTATAATATGGTATATTCCTTCACTACAGGTAGAAATAGAAATGTTCGAAAAAAATTGAGTGAATCTCGTTGGTGAAGACTTGCAACCCAGTCGATAACCATTTTCTGTTATTCACTCAGAACAAACAATTTTTTTTTGGGGGGGGTCATGCGAATTGGGTATCTATAATATATTAAGAGTATAAAAATAGCAGATTTTTAGCTAACTGCTTGTCGTTTATGTTCTGCGGTGTTTTCTGTACAGTCGTACTGTAAATCTGAGTAACCAGTTCTTACTTAATTCAAGATAACAAAGCTCACAAACAAAAGTGAAACGTAAAGTAGGATAATTTGGACAACAGATCGACATACTTCCATTCCAATTATGTTATTGCTGCCTAAGGAAAACAAATTCCGGACTGATATATGAATTCCTCTAGACAATAAAAACAACAAAAAATAAACAAATAACAAAAAACAAACAAACCCAACAACAGCAACAACAACATGACATTACTCAGGGAAAAGCACTAATTCATGGACCAGTCTACAATTATTTTTCATACATTATCGAAACTATTATAATCCAAACTGTGAAGCAGGCAATGATTGCTGTGCAAATGGTCTTAGCGACTATGGGTACATGACAGTTTTGCGAATAGTCAGTATAAGCCATGGTGGGTACATGATTCGTCGTGCTAATAGTCTAAATGACGTGGGTATATGACAATCGTGCGAAAAGTCTTTGTACAATTTAGTATATGGTTGCAGTACGAATATATATTTCCATTTTATAATGTGTTTACGACGCTTGGCCTTAAATCATTGTGTCAAGCAAATAGGTTTTTCTTTATTAATTAGTAACATAAATAAGTATATTTTGTTATCTTTGAAAACAAATATTAAAGAAGTAAAATGTCAAAATTGGTATTTGGTTGAACACTGGGTTGAATATTGCTCAGAAAAGTAATCTCTTTCTTCTTCTTTTTCTGGTATATGCAGTGACGGCTAAGTGTTTGAAAGGTGTGCGGGGGGTGGGTGGGGGCGGAGGAGCTGAGGAATGTGGTAAAATCACCCACATATTTCACCTCTGTCCGCGTGAGTTCGGCTTTTTTTTTGCCTCGACCAACTTGAGTATGTGGAAAAGCTTGGTTCTTCTGGGGGTCTTTCTCAAACAAATACGCTGGTCGTCATGTATAAACTATTGTGTGCCGAGAAATGTCGTTCATCTCCACAAGATTAATTATTTCGGATTTTGGTTATTTCTGAGTCTGTTTCTTATGGTGTTTTAATTTCTACCAATGTTTATTTTTGCTGTTCTTTGTGTGATACGAGATATTTATGTAAAACTTGCATTTTACAGCTGACCTTGTCCAAAATCAAATTTAGTTTCTACCTAACCAAAATCATTGATCCTTTTTAATTCTGTAAACAACTGTATACATAGCTAATGTTTGCTCTATGAGTGTGAATTTAATATTACGATCATAATCATATGATATAATTATTGTTACTTTGGTTTTAGTCGTGGACATTGTATTTACACTATTCTATATTAAAATTTTAGTAATAAACCTTGTCTAATTACAGATTGGATTGATCTGGAATTGAACTTTTGACCTACATCCTGGCTCTTCTTTTGCGTCTTACTATGTATGTATGTATGTATGTATGTATGTATGTATGTATGTATGTATGTATGTATGTATGTATGTATGTATGTATGTATGTATGTATGTATGTATGTATGTATGTATGTATGTATGTATGTATGTATGTATGTGTGTGTATGTGTATGTGCGTGCGTGCGTGTGTGTAATCTTGTTTATCTTGAAATGATTAATTCGTGCTATAAGGTCATGAAGTAGAATCATTTTTTGCATTTAGTGTTTGATTTGGAATTGTTATTTAATTCAAATTAGTTTTCACCGGAAATATACATTACTCTACAATATTCTTGCAATAAAACATTAACTGTGAATTAAAGTAAATTCAAACAAAGAAACCCTAAATTATAGTAATGTGAGTCAACAAAAGACTGTTGGCACACCACTACAGTACATGAGAGACTACTGTCCGTTAAGGTAGATCAACACTTTCAGACTTGGAAATTATTTGGAAGACCACTAAAGTTTATGCATTACTATATTCATTAGGACTTGTTTGAGTAATTATTTGATTATAAAGGATTTAATTCGCAATACTATAAGTTCTTTTAAATTTTCACTTGGTATTCTTGTGAAATAACATTATTTGTAGAAATTTACAAAAGCTTGTTGCTTCTCACTCATTTCTCTTATTTGAGACCATAAAGGCTTAATAACAGGTATGTCCATTTAGCCATAACTGAATTTAGACGCCTGCTTATTAAGAATAATGTTTGAAAAATGTTTTTGCCCTTATTGTTAAGGCAAACTCTAATTGAACCGTTCGGTGGTCTAGTGGTTAGAGCGTCTGACTCGGATGCGGGAGGTCGTGGGTTCGAACCACGGCCGAGTCATACCAATGACTTTAATAAATGGTACCAACAGCTCCTTTGCTTGGTGTTCAGCATTAAGAGGTTAGTGTTAGGACTGGTGTCGGGATAATGTGACTAGTTGGGACATCATACCACACGTCTGCGACATGATGCCCCATAGTACTAATATTAGTACCTTAGTCCTACCTTATGCCCCAGTGCTAGACATTACTATAAACTGTCACACTGCAGACATCGTAGCGATATGTCTGAAAAATTGTTAAAGCTACTTTAAAAATCTAAATCACACACATAAACTGAAAGTGTGCAGCATAAATTAAGGACATAAACATGCCGAGAATGTTGCGTTTGTGTGAAAACCCAGAATATGTCCTTGAAACTTAAAAACGCTATCACAACTTGGAATTTCAGATATGGCATAAAGTTCTTGAGGAATGACCATTTCCAAACTATTACGCAATAACTTCAGTTCTAGTCTGGTTTTCTGCTTCGAACAAGCTCTGTGTTGCACTCTGCTTTGTGCTACTGCTTCGAATAATATAGTGTGCTGCAGGTGGTATTGGTATAAGAGAACCAGACTACTTCATTTTCTGTCTGTAAATATATTCATAGCTTCCATTTTCCAACGTAAGGCAAGTTTAATGTATTATATATTTCGAAGCAAACACACACACACGCACGCACGCACGCACGCACATCGTATTAATTTGCCAATAAATTTTGTCAATTATATGACATTACGTGACTACATTAACAATTAGGAATTGCAAACACGCGATGTGTTGACTCATTTGGGGGTCGGCTACAGATGACTCATTTCAGATGACTCTGAATAGTTTAGGCTTAGTTCTTTAAGTATAAAAACCTACAGTACGTTCTATACAGTGTTATAAATTATCAGGTGGGCCTTGAGATGAAATATAACCATCTTCCATTTCTTGTATAAGCATGAGATTATGTGCATATTTCAGTTCTGCGACATCATTATTGCATATATTCAATTGTTTCTTTCATTTTTCAGGTCGGATCAAGAATTGAAGGGGTTGAAGGCATCACAGTAGAGACAAATAACCATCCTTCTTTGTACTGATTTTATGAACTGCTTTTCCATGGGTGCTACAAGGCCGATTTCACTCCTTTTATTTTTGTGCTGTTCTTTCTGGTCCATTCTGTTTGTACATTGTGATACCAAAACAGGTAAGTAAAATAATTTGTGTAAACAATATATATTTTGGCATGTTTATCAGTTTGTATTAATGAGTTATTCAAAGCTATAGTTATGGTACTCGTACAGTGGGTAAAAAATAGTTTATGCTATATCTTTTGACAAGATGTTGGGCATTTTGAGCATTGAATCCAAGTTGCCATAACATGAAAATACGCATGCAGCAAAGTTACTCAGTGTAGTGCACTACGCATAGGCGTGTTAAGCAGTTAAAAGTATTGTTACGTTTAACAGCAGTTTTAACCATTTTTAATTTTTGGTACACTTATATTATGTATGGAAAGATTTAAGAGTAAAATATGGTCATTATAGCTGTATAGTTATTTTTCACAAAAGAATTTTGTATGTGCTTTAAAATCTTGAGAGAACTTGTTCACTATTAAGTCAGTGCAGCTGCATTATCAACCATAGCGGCAATTTCTCATACTAAAAATTTATAAGTTCTTTGCCTGCATCTACATCACTAAATCAGCTGAATTTGATAACTTATATTAAACTAATGGTTTCTTACATCGGTATCAGAGCCTGTACCTAAGTTCTTAAGGCATTCATAGCTGTGATTCAACTCGCGCAAGTACTGAACAATATTAGCAACTGCCATTTTGTCAAATGGAGAATGTGATACAACCTACTTACTTTATGTAGCAGATTTCGACCAAAGCATCAACAGTGACCATGTGATTGGATGTATTGGTCATTCTCACCAATGAATGTAGTATCTAATAGGGAGTTTTCCCCGAAGGTGGTGCTACAAAAACCTGCTCAAAATGGCTGCTATTTACAGAGTTGCCAAAATGTGCTTGTATGCGAATCAGGTAAAGTGCCAAAAGGTGCCTGTATTTGAATGCAGTAGAGAGCTAAAAGTCACATGTATGCGGTAAAAGGTTAAATACAAGAGGTAATAGTCAAACTTAAAAGTGCTAGTAAAATATTACAGCTTTGTCATTTAATATTAGATTGTTATTTTTATTTTACAACTGAATTTAAATATAATCAGCATAGAGAGCTTTTGGCTTCACACAGCAGATCTTTTTAATTTTATTTTTAAATTGATGGATATGGCTGATGTATTTGTCAAGATCATAACATGGTCAGATAGGCTAAAAATATCCTTGTCAACAGGCTGCAGCTGCTATCAGACCTCGTGTACCCAGAATCTCAGTGCAGCTTCAGAGCAGGAAGGTCGACAACAAACATGATGGTCATTGACCTCACCAAAGCCTTCAATCTGGTCAGCAGGAGGGCCTATTTGAACTTCTTGGGAAGATGGCTGCCCCCCAAAACTTCACAGCATGATAATCTCCTTCCATACTGATATGAAGGGCACAGTCCTGTATGATGGATCCACCTCAGACTCCTTCCCCATAAACAGCGGCATGAAGCAGGGATGCATGTTGACACCAACCGTTTTTGGCATCTTCTCCCTGCTCCTGTCCCACACCTTCAGCACATCCACTGATGGCATTTATCTGCACACCAGGTTAAACAGCAGGCTGTTCAACCTAGCATGACTGCGCTCAAAGACCAAAGTGAGGCAAGTACTCATCAGGGAGATGCTCTTTGCTGATGAAGCGGCCCTTGTGACCCACACTGAGGATGTGCTATAGAGACTGGGAGACTGTTTCGCTGATGCCTGTAAACAGTTTGGGCTCACCATCAGCCTAAAAAAGACAAATGTCAGTGCTCGATGTCACAACTGCCCCTTCCATCAAAATCGATTGCACCACCCTGGAAGTAGTAAACAACTTTATTTACTTGGGATCAACCATCAGCAATACTCTTTCTCTTGATGTGGAGCTGGAGAGAAGGCTTCGAAAGGCAAACACCATCATTGCCCGACTAACTGTGTTTGGGAAAACAGCGCATTGACAACGCACACCAAGATTCAATTCTACTAAGGCTGTGTTCTGAGCACCCTCCCATATGGAAGTGAGACATGTAGCACCTACATGAGGCAAGAGCGTCAACTAAACTCCTTCCACATACGATGCCTACAACATATCCTGAAAATCGGCTGGCAAGACCACATTCCACATGTGATCCTTCAACGTGCAAGTATCCCAAGCATATACTCTTCTGCTGAGCAAACACTACCGTTGATGGCTGGGACACATCCGATGCATGGAGGATTGGAGGCTGCCAAAGGAAATCCTATCTGGCCAAAGGTCACTGGCACCAGAAGAATTGGCCGGCCATCACTTCACTTCAAAAATGTGTGTAAGAGGGACATGAAGGCATGCAGTATTTCACCAGACAGCTGGGAAATACAGGCCAAAAATCATGGCACCTGGAGAATGACATGGCACCTGGAGAATGACAGTTAACAAGGGCTTAGCGGTCGCTGATGGGAGGAGAATCCAGCAGGCTGATGAGAAATGCAAGAGAAAGAAGCGTGCAGCAGCAAACCAAGCAAATCAGACTCCCTGTACGTCTGTGCCATACAGCAATAGAGATTGTCACTCGAACATTGGCCTATACAGCCATAACAGAAGATGCCTAAACCCCAGAGATACCTGACACTCTAAGGGTGCTACTCAGGTGGTCTTCCAAGACTGAACTGCCAATGATGATGAAGAATGATATTTTTTGGATTAACAATTACACACAGAAGCAATCAACTTTGAACAAAACAGGGTACCTGACAAAGACCAAAAATCATGTGACAGTACATGTATCTTTTCCTTTATAACAAAGTTTTTTGTTTACAAAAGTTTCATCTGCAAAATTAAATTGCAGTACTGTATAATTAGCAACATGGGTATAAATCATTACAAAACTTTTAACATGTCATCACATAAACAAAGAAAAAGTTGAGGTTATTTGATTTTATGACAATGGGAGAGTTTACATGCCAAAAGACTCAAACAAAATTGTAAAAGATGAAATATTGCACTGGAAAAATGGAGTAAATGGAAAAAGAATATTAAATACAGAACTATGTACCAAGATTTATATACATTTTTGAATGGCTTTGTGATGCTCATGCCAACAATATCCCTATGGATAGAATCGATCTGTAATGGCTCCTTATTTCCCAGCTAAAGACACAATAACTGGAATATATAGATTTTCTCTTCTCTGTCGGGCTATGAAAGGATTATGGGTTCTTTACCATTTTATTGCTGACTGTGAGAGATTGTTCAGTATCATTAATAAAATTAAAACCAAGATTAGTTCCAGGCTCTGTAACCCAACACTTAGTTATCTACTTTGTGCAAAATATTTATAGTCTCAGTTGTTACAAAGTGTTTTAAAATGCAGTATGATTCTCTAGCTTTGTAATGCTAAAAGTGCTACATAGGAAAACTTAAAGTAATTACTGATGTTAAAAGACTAAAGGGGTAAATAAATCATTTTGGACATAGGCTATTTGAATTTTATCATGTTATATGTAGATTACTCTTTTTTCTGCTCAAATTACTCTTTATGTCCACTTGGATTCAACATCTTGGCATATATGCTAGAGGACATTAATATAATCATCCCTTAATTAGCATGTTCTGTATCCATTTATTATTACTTTCAATTTGATTATCCAGCTCAGCTTAATTTGAGATGCTTATGATGTTTGACTACGAATTGTACAATGAATGGTAGCAACTCATTGCTTGTTATCAATACAAATATTCATAAAATCTTTGCTTAAACAATGTTCAGACTCCATGCACATTTTTGTTTTCTTGATTGTGCACTTTCTGTTAAATCCCTGTACAGCTGCATCTTGATATTGTCTGTCTCTTATTAGATATGCGTGTATTTGGTACAACATTCCTTTATATATCCATGAAATACAGGT